ATAATATATATATATATATATATATGGGCGCATGCATACATATACTATGCAGACATACATACTAAGACGTATGCATCTGCATGCTTTCAACGTCGGTTTAGCCAAGCGCCAATCTGTATATAGGGGAAGTATACACATACATTTGTACATAAATACATATTTTTATATGAGCACATATGTATGTTTGTAACAATACATTATATATATTATATATATGCATTGATACTCTGGGTCCTGCCTCCCTAAGTGCCAGATGGACAACAGATACACAATACAGAGCCCGCCTAACAATTTCGGTGTAGCTTTTTGCCTTGCATCCCTTGGGGGTCCCCACAACCTGAGGGTCGTTCAAGCCTCTTTGTGCTGCCCCTCTTCTGTCTTGGGAATAGCCGCTGCTTCCCCTGCTTCTATTGCGACAGCTTCCGCAGACGCTTCTGCTGGTGGTGGTTGTATATCCCCTGCATCTGAGGCGGGTTGCTGCTGCACTGGAGCATCTGCTGCAGAAGGGTGAGTGTCTTGCTGGTCATCGCTGGGGGTGCTGCTGCTGGGGGAAGAGGCGGCAAAGGGAGGAAGCTTGAAGGGCTGGAAGCTCTCTGCATCTTGTCTTTGGGTTTCCCATCGGCTAAGAAGGCGCAAGTTAATGTCTTTATCGAAGGGGTCTTCAAATGCAGGCAACGGTAGGAGGAGCGCAGGCCGCTCGCTGCTATGAAATTTGCTCTGGTGCTTTGCCCAGAAAGAACCGAAACAGGATCTACGACGCGGACCGTCAGGTACCCCAAAAGACAGTGAATGTGCCGCCCCTCCATCAAAAGTCAAGCATTTCTCTGGAAGCAGCATTAGCTCGCCACTAGGGTGATGGTGGATGTGCTGAAAGGAAGCCTTCGCTGCAAATTGCAGCAGCGCACCGGGGCTGCAAAACAACTTTATGGCCTCTACGGGGCACTCCACATCAACCTTCAGCACCAAGTCTGAGATGCAGATACACCCGAAACAACCAAAGCACGCATACATGTCAGCATTCGCATAAAGATAGCTTCTTATAGACATACATACACACGTACACATGCATACACCTTGAATAACACACTCAAGATAGGATGCTCAATGGCACTGCTTCTGCCACTCAAGAACATCACGCCTGATAACGGGATGGTAGTTAAACACTATAACTAGCAAGTAGGAAAGGCTGCTGCTGTTGCGTCGCATGTGCTACTGCGGCTGCGTTTACTGCTGCGGCTGCGTTTGCTGCTGCTGCTGCTGCTGCTGCTGCTGCTGCTGCTGCTGCTGCACATTCAGCATAGCACCATCAAAACCACTGCGCTGATAGCCCCATCAGCGGCAGCAACAACTGTTACAGATGCAGACGCTAATGTTACGTCATGCAAAGTACCAATATATATGTAAATTGCCTAGGCCCGTGTACATATATAATTTATCCATGCTTACCCACAACCAAGTTGACGGTTTTTTCCATATTGGCGGCTTTGTCTTGAGCCAAGATGGCCGTAGTCTCTGCCTGTGCTTGTGCATGCACCTTTTTTATATTTTCTCTTTCACTTTTGTTCTGTATAGCACAAATAAATCCGTCGAACAGTCTGAGTGAATACAAAATGCAACGGTTGTGTTGCTCACGTATGCATGCGGGAAAATACTACGCAGATACATGCTATCTACTATTGTACACGATCAGCAACAATATACAATAAATATTATCTAAATATTGAATAGTATGAATGCACTTAAAAGCCGGCATCGGTAACCAGCAGGTCCAGGAGCCTTTCCTTTTGCCTGTCGCTTTCAGCTTTGCATTTGTTGATGTTGGCTTGTGTTCCCATTTTTTACTATTCTGTTGTTTCTACTGTTATGGAATTTTCTGCTCCAGCTGCGCTCACTTTCTCTTTGATGGCTTCGAGCATTTCTTCCATCTCCTGCTGCAGGTGTTGGCCTTCTGCTGCTGCTTCTGCTGCAGCGCGCTGCCTCAGGCCCAGCGCTTTGTCTCGTGCCTTCAGCACGATTTCTGCTGCTTGCTCTTCAGCTTCATGCAGCTGAGATATGGCGCTGCTTGCGTCACCGAGGGAAAACGACACAGACGAAGCAGGCGGAGAGGGTGCTGTAGGTACAGGAGGAGACAAAAACAAACCGTAGATCCTAAACCCTAAGCTCTATACCCTTAACAACGTAGTATAATATGCACCAAGCGTGAAGGCCCAATAGTGTCCGCATGCAAAAAGGCCACAAAAGCGAAGGACAACTACCCCTAATTTATCGACACAGTTTGCACAGGTAGTTTACAACCACAGAGAAGCACAGAGAATTGCTGCACAAACAAATGTGCCACAAGACGCAATACCCAGCAAGAATTGTACACAAGCTAGAACAAAGTGCATGCACATACACACAAAATGCACAAAAGCAATTCACTCTGGCACGTCAGCATGAAGCTGAGGCGGGAAAAAGCAGAAAAGCAGAAACACCCGACGAAAGAAGCCTATTCAAAGCTCCAGCACAGCACAGCAACACAGCCTATATATGCAATGAAAAAGACACAAAATTCCAAGCAAATTACTGGGAACTAACTCTTATATATGCTCCCCCTTTTGGTATTTAGGGATTAGGGTTAAAGGTTACTTGCGGTCTCGCCAAAGAACAGCTGCGATATGCTCATAGGCTGCAGAGTGATGCCGCAACATGAGGGCGAGGCAGTCTCTGGTTCTGTGCAGCTCAGAGTATCAACATCAGAAGGCAGCATCTCCTGGCTGCCGACTGCTACAGCGCGACCATGAGCAGCAGCAGCAGCGAAAAGGGGGGAAGGAACGCGCTGAGCGTCGTTACAACTGCTTAATGCTGTTAGGCTGCTCTCGCTCCGTTGGTAAACAAGACGACCTGGTGGAGCGTGCAGCGCTCTGTGAAACAACTGCTGCTGCTGCTGTAACTGGATGCCGTCGACTGAAGCTGCAGCTTCTGGGGGCCCTAATGATGCGCTCGGCGACAGAGACGCACCTAGCTGCTGAAAACAAAAAGTGGCTGGCCTGTTGGGCATTCCTAGCTCTGCTGGCCTTGCTGATGCTGCTGCTGCTCGTGCTGCTGCTGATTGTGCGGTGGGAGGAGCGTTTCTTGCTGTTGCCATTCCTGGTGATGCTGCAGTTGTTGCTGCTGGTGATGCGGATGGTGCTGCAGTAGTTGCAAGGGCAGTGTTGGGGACCACTTGCTGTGAACCCAGGTATGAGTAACCCTGCAGGGGGGGGCCCGGTTGCTGCTGCCACCTCTGACTTCCGGCAGCAGATGTGGCGGTGCTGTAAGCTTTCGATAAAGCAACATTGGCTTGAATCAGCAGGGCCTGTGCAGCAGCAGCGCTGCTGGATGCAACAAGCGGTGGAGATGGCCTCCGCTGTTGCGGCTGCTGGCACTGCTGCCACTGCTGCTTCAGCCCAGCGGCTGACAGCAGTGGATGTGCCTGTGCACCCTGATGACGTGCAGGGGAGAAAATGGATGGCGGCAGCGTGAGCTGCACAGCAGGCAAATTTGCTGTTAGAGGGGGTCTGGATGGCTGCTGCCGCTGAATCTGCGCCACCGGGGCTCTTGCATCACGGCCTCCCGCTGGTGATGCTGCCGTTGCTTTTGCTAGGCCCCATGTCTTTGCAGGCACAGCGTAAGCAGGAGAACCGCTGCTTGCGGTGTCTGGGCCATACGCGCGCGGCGATTCAGCTCGCCGCGGCCTGCGAGCCGCTCCACTCGCAGGTTGTTTGCCTTGTTCAGCCATCGGTGCTCGTAGAGCTTGTGAACAGGAAATATTTGAGACAGCTTGTCTTCCTTCTAAAAACTGCACGCTGAAGCTGCGCGATACGGGAAATCAAGAGTTGCCCACCATCATGGCGGTTTGTCCGAGTGGTTAAGGAGGTGGACTCGAAATCCACTGGGCTCTGCCCGCGCAGGTTCGAATCCTGCAGCCGTCGGTCCCTTTTGCTGAATCTCCCCTTGAACCTCTTTCACTGCATATAAATGAATTTCCGATTCTGAATCCAAACAAACCGATATGAGCAGGTGTTGAATTACCTTTCGATCAAATGGCAGCCGTGCAAATTGGACATCGCGGCAACCGACCGACGGTGGCGACACGGATGCCTCGGAACTCGTCTTGAGGACAGAGTCAACGAATCTTATCCTTTGCTCGTAAAATATAGACAAAAATCTCTACTCCATTAACTTCTGTTGAGCTGTTTCTTTAAAATGTCTGCAGCTGCAGCACCACTGCTGCTGCATGCTTGACAAAAGGTCGGTCACAAGGACTGTAGTGAACTGGCCAGTCACCCAGCTGAGATTAACGTGTATTTCTAACCTGCGCAACCTAGGTGCATACCGCTTAACTAATACCGGACGCTACGAATACTACACTATAAACTATAAAATACCCTTCTCCAGGTATTAAGGTTTTGAAAAGCCGGTTTCTTAAGAGTCTCCTCCGCTCAAAGAGAGGAAGTGCCCGCGCGCCCCGTCCGCAACGAGGCCTGCGCCGCGGGTTAGCCAGCCCCACGTCTAGAGGGCTGTAGGCACGAGTTGCCCATTAGCCCACCGTAGTGCTCTAATTCTCCCTCTTAGATGCTAAGTGGTCTTTATATAGTGCTTTATGACGAATTCACTTGCCAAAGACTCGGTGGAGTGCCTACTATAGTGCCCGTGCACTACAACTTCCCCCCTTTTCGACTAAATCCCCTCTCGCTGTGGTGGAGTGTTCCTAGCTTTCCAAACCCTAACAGCGGAATGCTCCTTCTCTATTCTGCGAGCACGTATCCCATGCCTTGCTACTACGGCTTGCCCCCCCCCCC